AATGGAGAATCAAAGGAAAATTATTTGAAAATAAAAAAGGATATACTATGTATAGCATTTTATAAATTATTTGAAGATAAAAAGTTTAAAAGGTAAACATTCAAAAGGTACACATTCACTAGTACTTTTTTAAATAACATCTGCCTTGTTTAACCATATGAATCTTATCAGAATAAAACAATGATTTTTGAATTGCAATTTTTGTCTCTCAAGGACGGTGTTCGTGATGAGTCACGAGGAGTGTTCTTAATTAATATTATAATAATATGTATGGGATTATTATTTTTAGTGCTAATTCATATATATGGTGCATTTTATATTTGTGTTAATGCTACAATAAATTAAAATTTATTATATATTATTTAACCTTGATGAAAACTAGATCTAAAGTTAATAAACTGATTGACAACGTTATTAATTATAACATTTTTGTTTTATCTTAGTAATTTACTGCAAGCTTGTGTCAACATTAACCTCTTCTTATTTCATTTTTATGAAAGAAAAGACAACAATCATTTCATATACAAATAAAATTATATAATTGGTCAAAATTTTAAGTTGACAGAAGTTTTACTTTATAATGTGAAAATCACAATAATTTGTGGAACGTCTAATGTTGCTTCTTTACTATATAGAAGTGGCTTCTAGTGATTCTAAATGTTAACTAAGGAGTATGCATTTGTTATATTGTCAGAGCGATCCATATTGGTGATCATGTTCCCAAGCTGAAACGACATCACTTGATTTAAGTGCTAGCTCAAAAAATGCAGATGAATAGTAATTATGATTTTATCTCAATATTTTCCGTGATGTAAATCCTTTGTAATGCAATGTAACTTGTGTTACTAGAAAATGTAATCTCAGTTAGAGGGCAAATGTAATTTGTGTCCATGTAACTTACGCGACTCCTTCACATGATCCTCTCATCTTTCATATATATGTAGTATAATGTAAGCAGGGGTGGAGACAGGGAGGGGCTGGAGGGGGCCACGGCCCCGGCAAGAAAAAAATTCTTAAGTATATATTATGTATAAATACTTTTAATCTATAGAAAATATGTGGATATTTTAAACTTTGGCCCCTGCAATGTAAAATTTTTAAAGACCGACCCCTTCAACCATAGATTTCTGGTTCCGCCAGTGAATGTAAGGTGCGTGTTCGTAAATGACTGGTTTATGTGTATTTATAACTATCCAAGTCTGATCTGGTTTGGTCTGGGATTTAAAACAGTTCAAGTGAAAACATCCTAAAACGACATAAATTTTGCATCCCTTTACAAATGTGAGAATGATCTAATTACTCAGCATTACTTTTTCTATTCCAACTTCTCAAATCTGGTAAGGGAGCACAACTAAATGTACAAAGTTGCACCATAATCTTATGAAGTTATGATTCTTATCCATCAAGTTGTAAGGAGACTCATGGATATAAATGATATGTAATTTGGGAGAGATTGAGCTGCTGAAGAAGAAAAATAAGGTAATTAGGAGGGGGTGTTAGAGTTTGTGTCTGAATGATGACCTAGGGTTTATATATAGAAAAAATGAAAAAATAAATAAATGTGTGCTGGAGTGATGATACGGGGTCGATAGACCCAACTACATAAAAACTAATTTAATACTTACAAATGAATCTAAAGGTTTGTAAAATAATTTTATATACTCAACGATATCTATTGGACGTGTGTGCTATTGTCCAATCTCAAAATCATGAGATCAAGGGTCCAAGTCCATAGATTGATTGATCACACTATATATCTCAACAACATCAAAAGACATCTTTAGCATTCAAGGATATATTCCTTACTCAAAACAATTTTCCATACAATACCCCTTCTAAGTACCATCGTACAGTGAGACCTTCCTCTGTTATCATACTTCATACTACTCTCTCTGTTCCCCTAACTTTGTCCCGATTTATCTTTTTCGTTCATCTCATTAAGGCTATGTTTGGCAAATGTCTTATCAATCATTTTTAGCTGGTTAAATTTGACCATTTTTAGATGATTTGTCTAATTGACCAACTAAAATTAATGTTCGGTAAAACACTCTTTGAAACTGATTATTCACCCCAGAAGCCATTTTCCTAAACACTGCATGTAGCAATGTCTTGAAGTTGGTGACGTGCACTTTGTCGTGTATGCACTCAAAATAATAATAAATACAACAATTATACGTAGTATAATGAAGTAAGGTTCGTATCCACAGGGAAAATAATACTTTTCTTTTTAATTAACTGGTAACAGGGGGGTAGGTTTGATTTGATTTAATTATATTTAAACACTAAGATGAACGACTTGTGTGGTTTAATTAATAGAGATGAAGACTTGGCTTTGCTTTTATCCACTTAATGAAATGTTCATCGATCCCGGTTATATCTTTAACTATCTTCCTCTCGAATACTCAATCGAGGAGTATATCCAGTTCATCGAGGGTAGTTATTAATAACGAGACACGTTCATTAATAAAACTTATTACCGAGTTAATATAGAACACACGCCGTATATTAACCCGATAGTAGCAATAAAATCAAGATAAAACGATTGAGATTGATAACCTCAACACAAGCGGTTTATCGGTTTAATCAATATAATTAATTCCCCTTTGGTTATTAACCATGAGACGCATGCATTAATAACCCAAGTTTACTACCGTGAAAGGACCAAATTAATAACAAGCGTATTAATCGATTGATTCTAGTAATAATTAATATATGAAACAAAACTAGTTGATACTTTAAGTAATGCTCAAAATATTTATATGAAATAGGAATAGTAATTAATTAATCGGAAAAATTGACAAGAATAATCCAACCTTTCAGTAGTCTTCTCGTAATAATCCCACCTTTACATAATCCCAAAATAATCCCACCTTTGCACCTCATATTCTTTCATTGGACCCTGATCAAGTTTTTACCCTTCTTTGAAAATCTAATATAAATAATCTCACATTTATAAAGACATAATAAAAAAGAGAAAAGTGAGATTATTTATATGATTTTCAAATAAAGATTAAAAAACTTGGTCAGGGTCCAATGAAAGAAGATGAGGTGAAAAGGTGGGATTATTTTGGTATTATGTAAAGGTGAGATTATTATGAGAAGACCACTGAAAGGTGAGATTATTCTTGTCAATTTTTCCTAATTAATATTCAAGGAAGAAGATTAAAGAAAATAACTCACAACTTACAATTCATTAAGCTTCAAAGTAGCAAAACCAAGATGGAAGAGTTTAGCTCCTCATTTGGAGACAACATAATGAAAATATAAAGAAAGAACTTATCTAGACTGAGCTTAGAAGTGTATAGGAATTGGTCATTTTTATGGGAAGGAAATGAGGTGTATTTATAGGCTTTTGGGAGCTGCAGGGTTGTGTACCCAATCGGGCTTTAAGGGCACTCGATCGGGTACTTAAAGAGCTTCCCGGAAGCCAGAAAACTGGGGCATACCCGATCGGGTCTGTCGGTCACCTGATTGGGTATGACACCCGAACGCGGTTAAAAATCTTCCCGCATGATGTCTTGTTCCCGGATTTGATCCGATTTGATTTTTCAGCAAGGTACCTGACCGGGTATAGGTCATACCCGACTGGGTACAACACAAAAATTCAGGATCTTCATTTTTGTCTTGAGATTTTGCACCTTCCTTCCATTTTTAATGTTCACCAATGGTCCCTAGAGTGATTTTGGACATGTTTGAGCTCAGAATAAACCTAATCTAAACACATTATAATTATTTTACAAACTAAACCATTACACCAAAAGTGTGTAATTTCCAAAGCAACAATCAATCAAAACTAATTAAAAACACAAACATAAATATGGAAATTACATGAATGTCAGTTGGCTTCTTCAGTTTCTTTGTTTTGTTTTTAGTTTTTCTTTCTTGCTCGTGTAATCTCAACTTCCAACGTTATAATTGTATTTATTGTTCGCTTTTTTCTTTTTTCTTTGTTTGTCTGAATTTTTTCTATTTTAATTTTCTTTTCATTGTTAGGTTAATTTATACATGAAGCAAATTTAAATTATATTATTATGAATTTACTTTAAATTGTTTTCAGTATTTTAAAATTATAATAAATATGAATAATTAATAAATAAAATATACTATTATAAATATCCCCTTATATAAAATTTTATTAAGAAACAACTATTTAAAAGAAGCTAATTTTACCAAACTATTTTTGACAACCAGCCAACACAATAAATTGGGCAAAACCGCTAAATCAATCAGCCTGTCGTCAAAGCCATTAACAGAATCACATAACTACTAAAATTACAAGCAACTGACTTTTTGTTGGGTTGCTCATTGCTCATTGCTCATTGCTCATTGATTCTCTATCTTAAACCTCAAAAGTGGAAGGATAAACGAGCGTTGATAAGAAAAACACAATACGAAGACTATTGAAATGGAGCAAACGGGGGGTTACAAAGAAACTGGGGCTGAAATTCGAGCATTGCTTCTAGCTTTGTTTTGCGTCAGGACGGGAAATCCATTGAAATCAGAAGGGAGTGCAGAGATTTTCAGCGGTATTCTATCCTTCATATTTTAGTTCCAAAATCCATGTAAATCCTTAACAATCCAAGAGTTAAAAAATCCATGGACAATTTAAGGAAAGCTGAATTTTAATAGACTCCATACAAATCCAAATTGAGGACACCCAAACTTTGATGGCACCCCCTGTTTATCTCATTCCATGGCGGTAGTACATACTTCGTACTACGTATTATCTTTGACTAGCTCTTTGTGTATCCACATTAAGAACATTTTTAAAATTATGAAGTCAACCATTAAAGTTATGGCCGCTAAACTTGTCATCAAGAATTTCGGCAAAAAACATTTATTACTTGTTTGAAGTATAAAACTTTGTATGATCAATTTTCCCTAACAATCTAGGTATTTTTTGCGCACTATGCCAGCGATTCCACTTACAATAGGGAAAAGTGACAAATTAAACTCATAAGAACTACGGAGTAATTAAACATTCAAAAGAGTAGATCACAAATAAAAGTGTCCCAAAAATAGAGTGAATTGCAGCACCAGAAATCGTACACACTGGCAAGGAAATGCACACATTTGGTTAAAGTTGAAATTGAAACTCAAAAAATTATCTCATGGATATTGATGCAATTAGCTAGTTACTGATAATAAGCTAGCCAGTACTGCACCTAAGCTAGTTCGCAAGGAAGACATTTGTGAGAACAGAATCAGTTTGTAAAGCAGCCTTCAACAGCTTCAGTCCCTAACAACGTACAAATAATACGGAGTAACATTAGGAATAAGTTGCTTTTCATGAAGCAAACAAACATTATCGAAATAAAGCCAAAATCAATGTTGAAATTTAAAAGGCAAATCAATAAAGAATGTTGTAGATGTACTTTCATCCCAAATTGAACTGATTTGCAAATTTGTTTTTTCTTGGTTAAATAGTTTCATTTTACCCGCTTAATTAGGATGCCAATTTTTAATTAAATTCTAATTTAGAGTTTACAAATTTGAAGAGATTTTAATGTAGTTTAAATATATAAATTTTAATTAATAAAAATTAAATTAAATATTGAGAAGGAACATTGACTTTTATTATTAGTTGTCCAAAAATGTTGATTTTGCAAAACAATTTGAGACTGATGAATATATGAATTCACACACAATTGAATAAGGCAAGATGGTTCGGAATAAATGATTACCATGCGCTTATAATAGCTGCAGAATTTTATATGCAATTTCAAAGAGCATGTACAGTTTTTTATTGATATATAGGTGCATGTTAATTACCCTATTAGGAATTGAATCATTGCCTCTTTTAATATTACTCCTACTAATTTCCATGTTTAATTATTTGTAGTGAAGATTTAGTTTTGTTGTTAGCCCCTGATGTTAAAATCAGGCCGTAGTAAAAATACTTGGTAGTAGAGGAAAAATACTACTACCTCCGTCCCACAACCGATGATACAAAAGAGAATTATTTAGAACCTCGAAAATTTTATCCAAATTTTATTAAATTAGATATGAGATAATGAGATGGATAAATGGGACAAAATAGTGAATTAGATGGATGTTTTTCTCTAAGACAAAATAAGGGTCTATATATCATGAAAAATTGAAATTTGAAATCCTCAAATTAATTTAAACACAAAGTAGTTACGTACGTACCGCACCGACATCCAGATGAACAACCTTGACCTCAAGAGCCTCAAAGTTTTTAATTTTGTACTCATTCAGAATGGTAATGGTAGAAATGGTTGACTGCGGCATTACCTTCAAGTCGTCCATAATCATATAAGTCGCAACACCCCTCACAAACCCGCCTCCCTCACCCTTACTGGAAGAATCCGCCGCCGCCGCCGCTTTGACCGGAGTAATGTTACTCGCCTCAACGTTCATGTAACTTCTACAGCTGGGACATATAGTTGTAGGGTCATCGGAGTATGACCGGGTCTGGCCGCAGCCATAGCCGTTGCGCACGCCACTACAAAAGTAAACCTTCTTTGCCGCCGGAGATGCGGCGGCGGGGGCCGGCGTGAGAAGTGGCACTTCCACCGATAGATCAGGCACTTTTGGGTTCAAGAAGGCGTCTTTGTTGGTACCGGGCTGTAAATATGTGTCGCTGAGATCGGCGATGCTGCCGTAGAGATTTCCGAGGGCACCCACCATGCATTTCTGGGTCACAAGTTTTATGACGGTTCCCAGTGGCAGCGACATGAGGAAGAACAGGAAATCAACGAACGGTTTTTCTGCTTCTGCAAAAACCACCTTTTTAGCGTTCTTGTTTATGAGGAGTTTCAGGCTCACCGTTTGGGTCGCCGCAGCCATTTCAATTTTTAACGTTGGGGTCGCCGGCGCTGCAAAAACAACCTTTTTAGCCTTCTTGTTTTTAGCCTTCTTGTTTATGAGCCCCTTTTTTCCCATAAATTGCCCACTAGCTAAAACAATATATGTAGTACATACTACTATGTACTCCCTCCGTCCCGCTGTGATTGTCCCATTTTACCTTTTCGGTCTGTCCCACTAAGATTGTCCCATACCTTATTTGGTAATTAAAGTTTGTGTGGTTCCAAATAATTCCTACTTTATTCTTACTTTATCAATTCAATATTAACCACATAAACTCACTTTTATTAATAACCGTGACACCTTCTCTTGTCCCAAACTTAGGGGACGGAGGTAGTAATATACTACTTCTGTTTTAATTGCAACATTGGACTTTTTGCATTATTCACGTATTCTACTTTGACTATATTTTATTAATTAATGTATTATAAATTAAATTTTTAAAAAATATTGTTCAATTCTTCTCATTCTAAATTTTCAAAATATGAGTTTTTAAATTTTTTACTAATAAGGAACGAAATATATTAATGGTCAAACTTATGCGTTGGCAAACGTGAAATGTTGACTGTTGCACTTAAAAAGGAACGGCGGAAGTACTTCGTACGTACTTCCTATAAAGTATCAATGATGTTTGGAAAGGTTTTTAGTCCTATAAAGTATCAGAGTTAAACAAATCAAATCAAACAAGATCCAACTAGCAAATTAAAGTCTAAGTAAAAACATCCTAAACAAATACACAAATATGTGTGATCTTTTCTCTTTTGGTTTGTTCTGATCTGATCTACTTAGGTCTAATTTAAACTAATCTGATTTGATAGATCGATGTCTGGTATATGTGCATTTTATTTTAATTTATAACTGTCGAAGATTGATCTAGTCCATTTAACTCTATCATGGTCTATTCTATTCTGATCCAGTTTGTGACTAAAATATGTCTAATTATTTTTTAACTCTATCATTCATTTACTTTTGTATCACTTGACCACAACCATACATTTTCACTTTTTTTTCCCTTTCGTAATCCAAGTCAAATGAGAAAGTATCAAAGTAATATAGTGTTAATTAATTGTTTAATGAATTAATGATATCCAGTGTGGGACAATAACATCCCTCCCCACAAGCAGACACTTCGTCCTGATCATGTCGTTATTCATTTTTTCATCTGTTTGTCATTGTTATTTTTTTTTATAATAGCGTCTTCATTTTTTCATAGGGGGCCCACATAATAGATCAATTTGATTCTGATATCATGTTAAAACCTAAAATTTCATCCTAAAAGGTCAACTTGATATGATGAACAACCCATATCTTAATATATTATTTAATTGTTTTAAGGATATCCGGTGTGGAACAATAACAATACTTCTAATACTATATAGCCAATTTTCCCAATACTGAAATGTTTGATTTCTTTTAAGATAGCAATGCCATAAAATTATTACATATAATAAATTAATAATACGACTTCTAAAGTTTGGGAATAAAAAAAGTTTAATTATCTCAAAAGTATTAACTTTTTAAGGTAAAAATGTTTTTACTTGAATTGAAATTTTCTGGTCTGATCTAATCTCATAAATGTATGATCACTGTATATTTTATAATTTTCTAAATTTGATCTGATCTCACATGATTTGATCTAATTTGATCTAGAGGTGAAAATAGTCCCAATAAAAAACTTAAATGAATTTAGGTTATGTTACCAATGAATCCTGACCGTTGGCATTGCCACGTATTGAAAAAAGGTGAGATGTTATGGTGGGATATTCGATAGATTTGAAGGAATTGGACCGTTGGCTTTCCGAATACTGCCCTTCCTTACGTACATTCAATTGCTGATTTCACGATTATCATCATTAAAGATTCTCGAAACTCAACCTGTGGGAATTTGGAATTTTGATCCGGATGGAAGTCGTAGAGTCGACCATTATACACACCTAAAGTCTACAAGTCTAGAATTACTTATGTTAGTTACTTATATTAGACTAGTTGTAATCTTAAAGTAAAAAAAATATATTTAATGTTTTCACCTCAATTTCTTGTATAATCAATGGTATAAAAAAGGGGGCAAAGTGAATGGATAAACTTACGGTGGGGAATAATCAACTCATTTTTCACTCCTAAGAGAGAAGAAAAAGCAAAAAGTAGAGGAAAGAGCCAATGAAAAAAAGTAGGAGATGTCTCCCATGTTAAAAAAATATTTTATTTAAAGTCATAACTTTTTTTTATTTGTATTCCTATTTCTACAAAAAAATATACTCCCTCCATTCTTTATTAATAGTCTCCTTAATCTTGGGCACGAGTTTTAATAACAAAGTATAGGGTAAGTATAGAGTGTCTAGGGTAAATGATAGAGTAGAAAAGAGAGTATATTAAAAAAGTAAAATGATGATAAAGTAGGAAATAGAGTGTATTAAGAAGATCGAATAAAGTGATGGTAAAGTAGGAAAAAGAACGTAGTTTGTAAAAAATAAGTCAGGTAAAAATAATAAAAGTGAGAGTATTTTCTCAAAAACATTCCTTAAATGGAAAGGTGGACAAATAAAAAAACATACCAAAATGGTATGGAGGACTATTAATTAGGGGTGTTCGTCGGTTCGGTTTGGTCGGTTCGGTTTGGAAAAGGTGAAATCGTAAACCAAACAGCACTACTTGAGTCGGTTTCGGTTAATATCGGTCGGTTCATGTCGGTTTCGGTTAGTTTTAGCATGTTTTTGTCGGTTTTTGTTGGTTTTTGTCGGTCGGTTTCGGTTCAGTTGGTTTTTTAACCCCAAAGGTGAAACCGTAAACCAAACCGCCAATGTTTAATCGGTTTGAGTCGGTTTTGGTTTTTCGTTTTTTTGTTCACCCCTACTATTAATAAAGAACGGAGGTAGTATTAAAGTTCGTAATTTTTTATTACCTTTCATATGACACCAATATTGCCTATATAATTTCTTTAAAGAAAGTTGATGAGTGAATATATTGACGGTGTTGTATTGCGAGAAAAAAATGGATTGTCGTAGTGAATACACTAATTTGGTACAAATTAGTTGAGAATTTGATTTATTGACTGAGTAAGGTTGCGGATAGTCTTAACATTGTTTTTAATACGAATAAAATTTTCGGATCTCACTTGGTCTGATGTAATTGATGCATTTGAGGTGGCAACTCAATGGGTCAAATAAGCTCCATAATCCAACTGAATTGTTCAATTCACCCTCTCAACCATTAAAAAGTGACAAATTAAGAAAAAAATATAAGAAATACTTCCTCCGTTCTTTTTTAGTTGCAACGGTCAACATTTCACACTTGTCAACGCACATCTTTGACCATAATTATATCTTAATCCCTATTAGTAAAAAATATTTAAAAAATAGATTTTGAAAATTTGTAATGAGATGAATTGAACAGTATAATTTTTTAAAAATAATTTTCATAAAATAATAATATAAAATGTAGTCAAAGTAGAACATGTGAATAGTGTAAAATTCAACATGTTGCGATTAAAAAGAGACGGAGGATAGTAACACGCAAGTCAAAATATTAAATATAAATATGAAATATTTATATTTTGCGATAAATTCATAATAGAAAATAAAATATAAACTTAAAGAAATTCTTTAGTAGTTTTTCATATATTATACTCTCTCTGTCCCGCTAAAATTGTCCCAAACATTATTCACTTGATTAACACAGATCATTCTTAAACTTTACTTCATCCGTCCCCTTTTAAATGTCCCGTTTTACCATATTGGGATGTCCCTATTTAATTGCCTCATACCTTATTTGGTAAACTTTGTGTGACTCAAAATCATTCTTACTTTATTCTTACTTTATCAATTAATATCAACCACACAAACTCACTTTTCTTAAAACCCGTGCCACCATCTCCCGTCCCATTTAAAAGGGGACGGAGGGAGTATATATTAAATTTTTATCAAATTTGGTTATGGTTCAATTGAATGCCTTCCCGATTGAAGTTTTAGTTCAAATTTGATATGAGTAAACTAGATTTAATGAATAAGATTCTCAAAAAATTTCATCAAAAAATTCCACCGGGAACCGCCCCAAATGGCGTCAGCCGGACATAGCATTCTAAATATGGCCTTATTTGACATTTTGTTCCAAGTTCGATGCCCTATCTGACTCTTATCCCTTTATTTATTTATTTATTTATTATTTTTATTTTTTGCAAATTTGACACTTTTAACGGTTGTGGGGTGCATTGAACATTTCGGTTGATTTCAGGGGCTTATTTGACTATTGAGTATTGAGTTGCCACCTATCCACCTCAATGACACAATTGACACATGACCTAATGACGTGGCGTTGACCGGATGCTTTTCATCAAAATGTTAAATTCGAAACTTTCTAGGCCCAGTTTAGGGGTGCATGTTAATTTGATTTTTTTAATTCAAGGGGCAAATTGAGCATATTGAGCATAATGATCATGTAAATGAGCCTTTAGCCGGTTTAAAATGAGCTTCCCATAAATTGCCCACTAAAACAATACTTCGTATATTAAGCAAATACACAAGTATCAGTAGTGCTATCTTTTCTAATTTACAGGATCGTGTTACTTCTATTAAGAGCAGCCCCCATTCGAAAATACTCAACATATGTGTCATGAGAAATTAAAGATAGTAACACAAAACTTATCAATCCCTACTTTTCTCTCTTTGATGTAAAAAGCGCGAGTTTTCGTTTGTTTTTTATTGACATAGTAGTATTGTAGTTGACATCGTGAATTATGAGTTTTTAATGGGATGCAAACATTCTAGTGTGATATGTCTAATTAAGTCTAGTCTGAATTGATCTAATTTGAGAGATGTCTAGTAATCTTGTTTATGTACATTTTACAACTGTTGTAATTTGAACTAACCTGATTTATTTTAGTCTGACTTGAAAAAAGTCTAACAAAAAACTTCATTGAAAGTAACTAAAAATAATCACAACATGTGACCCTAGAAAGAAAATTGAGAGAAATGACATTAATTGATTTTTATGTATTTCTCAATCATCACGTCACACATATACTCTCAACACTTTTTCAGTTTTGCATTGGAGATACTCTAGAAAAGGTACATAATAT